CAAATTTTCAAAGAATTAATTAATGATATTAATTCAAATTCTCTTTTATCAATCAGATCGAGCGGCTGAATTAGCTAATATTCGAACAAGCGATGGATTGACATGCATTGTAATTGCTGTTACTGCTGGATATGCAAAAGTAAACAAATTTCTAATTTTTTATGTTTTAAAATTTTAAATTTTAAGTTATAGCAAAATTGTTGGATTGAGAATGATTTCTCAGTATTGATTATTATATAATGTAAATTTGAATTTGAATTCGATTAAAATGAATAGAATTGTATAATGAATTGAGCGTTTTGAAATGATTGAAAGCATCAGAATTAATTGTTATATGTCTCCGTAAATTTATTTTAATTGTTTTCCTTATAGATTCTTAAATTACTAATTAAATATGGTGCAAACTGCAATGTTCCTGACGGAAATCAAGTGCATCCAATTGCTTTAGCAGCCCTAAATAAGCATCCGAAATGTGTCGAATTACTTTTACCGCATGTAAATCGTGCGATATTAAGAGGAACAGATGTAAGTAGCCTCATTTGTTATTATTTTTAAATTAATTACTCAACTAAATTTACATATCGAATAGAAAAAATGACGTTGTAATTTGAAGAAAATGAAATGATTTACAAATGAAAATTTTCAGATTGATCCAGTTTTAGCGGCAACTTCTAGTGATTGTTACAATTCTGTCGCTTTACTAATAAAATCTGGCTACCCTCTTGAAGTAAGCATTTACTCTTCAAAAATATACTATTCTTAAAAGTTAAAAAAAAATTTTTTTTAACCTATTAAATGATTTATTTTAATATTACTCATTTTATTGTTAAAAACTTTCAAAACAATTAAAATTTTTCCACTTACTATTATAGTAATAATACATAAAACTTATTAATTTGAATTTATTTTTAGACACCATATTACTGGGAAGAAAGTATTGAAATACCTACTCCGTACACATCCCCATTATTTGATCGTGAATATTGTACAGCATTGTATGAAGCTACACAAAATGAAAATCTTCCAATTGTTAAATTATTAATTAATGCTGGCGCTAAGGTTATAT